TATGTTTCTCCCTATCATGCTGACATACAGGATAGTAGAGGTAGAATTTATTGTCTGTGGTCAGTTTGTGGAGTGGATAGACGAAATGGCCAATGGCAGAGTATTGGTGGAGAGAAGGGTTACGCCTCCTCCCTCAGGCACGTGAGATCTTCGTTCGGTGGGATGACGTTATGACGCATGACATATGCTGGGTGTTGATACACTGCCAAAATTCTCGGGAGCAGCGGGGCCACTTGACACATCATTCACTCAGTGGGAGGCGGCACTTCAATGGGCACAGCTGCAGCTTAAACTAACAGATAAACAGTTTCTATCTGCTGCCTTTTCAACGCTGACGGGACACGCCGCGCGATTCGGCCAACAGCAGCTACTAGCGAGACCTGCGTTAACATGGGCAGATTTACTTGTCCTCATTAAGCGCGAATTTCAATCGCCATCTGAAGTCCCGCGAGCACAATCAATGTTAAAAACGTTTTGCCAGACGCGGGGCGAAAGTATACGTGATTATGCTCGTCGATTACAGCAGGTTGCAGGGTGTGCGTATCCACACACGCATACCTCACAGCCTGCGTTTCAAGAGAGGCTAGTCGAAATTTTTAGGGATGGGCTCGCACAAACATCGTCACAAAGAGTAATAGTAAGGGCTAAGCCTGCCTCGTTAAAACACGCGGTGGAACTCTGTGTATCACGAACATGCGAAGAGGCAGAATTAGCCGAAGTACAGAGGACTCGTGCCTTGATACCGCCCCCTACAGCGGACGATGGTTCTGCGTTGGAATATACAGAAATCACGCATGACCAGCGCGTACAGGAACCGCGCGCTGCACATCCCGCTAAGCAGGCATCGAGTTACGAGCTCGTTCGACAGGATATTAACGAGTTGCGAGACATGGTCGCGGCCAATACACAAGCAATAGCAACACAGCAGCGGGTTGAGACCGCACCCATTTCGCACCCATCACAAGACACGCGTACAGCTCAGCGGGTCGTTGACCCATATACACAGCAGGCCGCGCAGTGCCCGCCGTTCCCGTTCAATGCGCAGCGACCAGCAGCGGTCAACACGTGGACACGCTGCACTCACTGTAACCAAACTGGACACATGGCACGCTGCTGCCCTCGCGCGGCGGGAAACGGGAGCGGCGCGCGTCAATAAGGAGATTTCGCGTAGCAAGCCGCAAATCGCACGCTCCTGCTTTTCCGTATGTTTTCTCGTCTATTAATACCCAACCACACAGCGCGCCACACTGCACTGTGAGGATAGCAGGCTTGACCTTGACGGCACTCCTTGACTCTGGCGCTGACGCAACAATCCTAGCTTATAAACACTGGCTCAGCCTCCCTCAATCTCTGCGGGAAGAATCTTCTTTACCCACTCACCACAAAGTCCTGTTGTCAGCAACGGGGCATCATCTTTCCATTGTGGGAGCGGCAACGCTGCCTGTTTGGATTGGAACTCGTAAGTTTAGTGTTAAGCTGCTCATTGTCAAAAATTTACCACGCTCCTGTGTGCTTGGCGCGGACTTTTTATATACAACAGGTGCACTGATTGATTTCCGCATGGGGATGCTTAGACTTCGTAGAACAGGTGTGCCGCTTATCACTACGGGAGTCAATCGCAGTAAAATGGAAACGGACGGAGAACAATCACATAG